GTGAATTTTTGTTATATAGCAGAAACGTTTGAAAGACTTCAGGGGATCTGCAGAAACTTTTAAAGTCATAGAAGGGATCCTCCAATGAAGAAAAAAAGGAGGAAAGTATACATGGGGAGACCACAAGGCATTTCTTCAGGCACTTAATGTAACATTAAGACAACAGAGAGTAACTGGTGTATAGACACCAATGAGGTAATTGAAGCTTCTCAGCCTGCTCCCTACTCCACATAAAAGAAGCACACAAGTGCATGGACATCAAGACTGAAAACAACATCTTGCTTCAGTTTAACTCCCGTGCCTCACAGAGTACTGCTGGCTTTACTACGGCCGTGCTATGCACAATCAATAACAGGTACTGATGGTGTTTGCATAATATTTCAATAAGCAAAGTCAACCAACATCACTTCCTCTATTTCTGTAGAGAGTAAGATATTTACAGGAACAGCCTTTTGAAATGCTCCAGTAAAATTAGCTTACTCAGATTTTTTTTTAAACTGGAACAGAGAGCAGAAGGGTATCATCATCACTGGGTTTTGTGCATAAATCAACTGTCTATTTACCACTGGTATGTCGCAATAATGAATTGCCGCTATCTCTTGAGTTATTTGCTGGGTTATTAAATTACCTAATTACCTAAGTCCACAGAATTAAAATAAATTAAAAATAAATATATAAAAAATCTTCATTATTTCCTGGGAAACGACCTTCAGAAGCATGTATTCCACCTCCTTCCCCAAAGCAATGCCCAAAATATTCCCGTAGGAGGTTTGTCTGTTTTATAAAAACCTCCAGTGATGATGCTTCCACAGCTTTCTCAAAGGCAAATAACTGCAGGACCAAAATACCCTTATAATCTTAAAGCTTTCTTAAATGTTTACCTAAGTCTTGCCACCTTCATATTGAGCCCATTTCTTTCAGACCTAACTCCAAGCAGTCAGGCTGCACAGTTCATTCCCCTCCTCCCCATAGGAACCTTACACATACTTGAACACTACTATCATGTCTGTTACTGGCTTTGTCCCCTGTAGACTAAACAATCCCCATTCTTTCATCTTCTTTCCCAGGTCATGTTTTCCAAATCTTTCATCATTTTTCCTGCCTTCTCCCTGGACACCATCCAGCTGGCTCTTGACTGTGTTGTGCCCCAAACTAGATGTTAAGTCATTTCAAACACTGAATGGAGTGGAGGGGTTTATTTTGTGCCTGTTCTTTACGCACCCTAAAACAGTGCTTTTTTGAGGAACGTGGATGGGGAGCCCTTGTATGACTGTATGACACCTACAGTCTCATGTCTGCGACCCCTTTCCCTCTCAGATATGCTGTCCTGCGCACATGGACCAGGCCTGGGAGGATTCGAGCTGGGACACCTCCCTAAAGGCATGGTCACCAGCTCCAGGTTCAGAACCGAAACAGGCAGGAGACCAAAAGAAAAGCTGCCTACTCAGCAGAGCACTGGCAGCCCAGGTGCCATGGGAGAGGAGAGAGGGATGTGTCACAGCTGTTTTTCTCTGCTGGTCTGGGAACCAGCTGTGATTTTTTTACCACCCTGTTTAACCAAACCAGGCCAAACTGCTGCTCCAATGCAGCCCAACACCAGCTCACAGACCTTCTTCTGTAGAACCACTACTGAGTCAGCCTCATTTTGTCTCATGCAACTGGATATTTCTATCTCTCTGTAGCACTTCTATGTTTGTATCCTGGCTGTTTTTCAGGGTTTTTTTCCCGGGTTATTCCTCCTGTTAGCTAGGGGAGCTCAAAACTTTAATCCTGCCTTCCAAGGAGCCTGCAGCCCCCCTTCACACTTCTTATCCCATGTAAATTTAACTACCGCTCTCTCTGCTCCATCAATCATTTCAATAATGAAAACAGTGAGTATTACCAAAGCCAGGACAGACCCCTGGGGAATCTCACTCACTCCAGACTTGCAGTTTAACAGCAAACCATGAATAACTACTTTGACGAGTGCCTGGTGAAATGCTGCGCACCCACGTTACAGACCAGCTAACGAGACATCCAGCCTGCCTCAAAGAAAGCTGTTTTAGAAAGCAGCCAGAGCCCCCCATTAAAGAGGGAGTAATTTCAGTCAGACAGAGGGGTCCAATTACACTGTCATAGGCACTGTTGGAAAGTCTTTGCTAAACACTGCCATAAAAATGTAATGCATGCTGATAGGAGAAAAACGAGGGTTGATAACCAAGCTTAGGATGACAGGAAGAACTTCAGCAGAACTGAGACAGCAGGAGCTTCACTTTGCTTCCAGCAAAAGAGAGACTTGGAAGAAGCAAACTGAAACACAGAATAACAATTACAGGAATTTTATGCCTTCCATCAACTGCTGCCAACTTTGCAGTTAAAGAAGATACTATCACACAGGTATGGTTTTGTTTGGCTTTTTTTAGTAAAAACAAAATGTTTTCTTAGCTCTTCCAGATGTTTTTCCAAATTGCATTCTTTACTGCTCCCTAACAGCCTATTCTGCTCAAGGATCACAAATAAACCAGACAGATAGCGAAGACCATGGTTCCCAAAACCCTGATAAAGGCTTTAATCAACCACTGAAAACATCCCCAGCCCCATGCAACCACTAAGAGAAGCAAATGGCAGTGGCTGGTGCCTGGAACAGGGAGAAAGGGTAAGTTCCATGGAGAGTGAAAGGTGAGGCAGCTTTCCAACACTGGCTCCCTTTGCTTGCCAAAATAGCAATGCCCAACCCACGCCTCACTCCTACTTCTGTGGAAGATGCACTTGCTTCCCAGGAGAGTTTACTCTCGCAATGCAGATGTGCTTCACTGAGGCAATCACGCTCTGTTGCATAACAGATCACAGAATTAAACAGTGTATGCTGTTCGGTGAGTTTTTAAAATGTACATCACAAGTTACTGTGGAGTTCAGTGATGGTGCCAAGAGTGTTAACACAATGATGTTAGCAGGGAAGAATACATCATATCCTTCCTACTCCCACAGCTTACTCGAGTCGTAATTTTGCAAAATCCTTTTGTACTTGTCAGTAAAACACAAAGTCAGACATCTGTGTGACTTTTGTTTGATCTTTGGTGACTGTGGGCATCGTCACCCTGGGACCTAACACACCTGCACCAGTGGCAGGTGCAGGGATGGGAAGAACCTGGCAGGTGACTGCACCAAGGTGCTCAAAGCTGAACCCCTCACCCCATGTCCTACAAAAGAGGGGTCAGAAAAATAAATAAATAAAATCACAAGAAGAACCCAGAACCAATCATTTCCAGTCTCCACTGTGAACAAGGAGGAACAGCCCTGCAGATGCTTCTGTACTTTGATTGAGACTACACATACATTTAGATTCTTCTCTGTTTCCAATAGCTGCACAATGCCGTTCCTCTTCAGAGGAATACAGGTCTTTTCTAAAATATATTATGCATAACCTAGTTTTCCACAGCAGAAAACTCACCAAGGGAATACTGTTTGCTCATACCAGAAATGTATCCCAAAATTACAGTAATTTATAGCCTCATTTTCATTGACAAAAGAAATAATACCATTCTCTTCTGACAAATATCAGCACACTGAAAAAGTAATGAATAAATGTCTATAAACAGGTATCAAATAAAGCAACTGTCAATCACTGCAATAAAACTTTAATTAAATCATATGGTAAGCAAAAAAAATAAGTAAAAACAAACCATATAATCTGAAATCAAAATAAAAATGTCTGTCATATGAAAGCACAATTCAGAGCACTAAAATACCATAACCTGTTAAGTGATTGGTCATCTAATTGTTAATTGGAAGGTTCCAGGTTTACAAAACAAAGACAAACATCCAGATTCAGCAAAGTACTTTGGCATGTGCCAAAGTACATCTGTATTTTAGAAACATATCTTATGTGACTGAGTTTCAAACTGGAACTGTTCATATACACCTCTACCATGATTTTTTATTTTTTTTTTAAGAGACAGAAAGTGATCTGCACTGTTCACATTTTAGTATTACAAATCAAATCAGCATTCAGCCGCAGCTGAATACATATTTCTGGAGACACATCAGAAAGAAACCTGAGGATTAGTCCTAACACAAAAGGATGAGGGAGTTGCTTGCTGTCATCCTGCCAATTTTCCAGAACAGAAGAGTTAGCAAATGAGGCATAAAAGGATGTGAGCAAAGAAACTCATACCTGCAAAAAAATATGCAGAAATATCAGGTGTGCAACACAATGATAGTAAGTACTATCAGGCCAAATCACAAGAACTGCTGACCAGCTGAAAGTCCTCCTGGCCTCAGCTGGAAGTACGTAGCACCCTTAAGGTTAGTTAAACTTAAAAGCCATCCTAAATTGATGCTACAAATTAAATTTGAATATTCAGCACTAAACTTTTTAAGGCCCTGACCTTCTATTGGAATCAATGTAAGGCAGCAGCAGTAACATTAAAGAAAATCTTCCTGAGTGTCTCCCTGTCTGTTACTGTTAAGAAATTAATACAGTCCTCTCTCTTTTATTTCTTATAGTGATAGTGGTAACAAGCAACATCCAATATACCTATGGTATTGCTGTAGGGGAAAACCCAAAAATTTCCCATTTTGCTCTCAAAAAAATCTCTCATCATGCAGCTGGTTGGCTTTCCAAGTAGAAAGACAAAGACGGGGCACTGAAGTGTGTGGGTGCACATGCACACGTGTGCGAGGCAAGTGCGGAAGAAAGAGGCGCATATGCGATAGTGCAGATCTCTGAACAGGAATGCAGCTACCAACCCCAGCTGGGGCAGAGGGACAGTCGTGTTAGAGGAGGGTTTGAGCCAGCTGCACACTTCCATATTTGCCAAAGTGGGCTGACAGGTTTCGTCTGGCAAAGACTACTTCTGGGGGAGGGGGAAAGCCAAGGTGGGGAGGAGGAGCTTCACACCTGCCTGGGGAGAACTTTTAAGCAATTATAAATACATAGGATTTAAAAAAAAATTACAAGAAAAAATTGATTAATTAACTGAAGAAAAAAAGGTTTAACTTACTGAATAAGACACCACTTTAAGAGGTTTCCCCACTTTCCCTGCTGTAAAGCACTTCAGAAAAATTCAGCCACTGAGCTACTGCTTTTCTTGACCTTTTCACTGAAAGAGAGCAGAGTAAAAACAGGAAAGAGCTAAAACGATATGCATTAAAGATACTTCATGTTAGGAAAGTCTTTTGAGTCAATGTTGCAAATTCACTCTGTGTCAGATTTGCCCATATAATGCTTGCTAAAGACTATTAAGAGCAGCAGCAGTCAAAGCAGGCGTGTTGCCTCTCAGCTGTTGCAGCAACACCGTACACACTATATGTAGCATTTGCATCTGGTGCTGGTTTTCCACACTCAAAAGTTCACTTCATGTCTTTTCATTAATTTATAATGCCCTGAGCTCCAGGCAGATTTTTTCTGCTGATTTCCCTTTTCTTAACAATAATGCAAATAAACATGGAAATAAATCTATTCTTTGAGGAACCCTTCCACTAATTCTGTTCTTTGATGGTTTGGTTGATTTACTACGGTGAGGAATCAAGAGTGAAGTGGATCGTAGCTTAATACTGAGTGTGGTTAATCTTCCCTTTGCATAATGCTGGTACACTATGGCCCAAATACCAGAGATTTATTTGATGTGTACATGCTTTCAAGCATTAGTAAACGAATTGCAGCCCATTATGAAAGAAGAGCAGATCCAAACAGTTGTGAAGCTCTTTATGTACTAGATTGGCACTGTCAGTACAATACGCTTACATCTGCATGTGTACTAGCTTTAAAAGTTTGGACATTATTTCATGACAAAGTATCATTTTTTAAACTGTAACTAAAAATATGGCTGAGATCACTTCCCATGACCTGATGCACTGTTGTCTGAATCACAACAAAACTGAGCAAGAGGCAGGCTTTTTCTTCTTTTAATTGATTTTATTCCTCGTAACATAACCAAAATGAGGAAGAACATATACTGGAGCCTCAAAAATGTACAGACATATTCATTCTTACAAAAAGCATCTCTCACTTCTCATTTCTTTTTCTTCCACTACTTTGAAGAAGATGTTATAGAACACACAGAAGTACTCTATGAAACACCACTGAATTTTTTACTTTACTAGATTTATCAAATAAATTACAATTACATTCTATAACTAAAGTTACATTCTATAACTAAAACATTCTTCTTGTTGTTCACGTACAAATTAAAACAAATTTGTTTCTTTAGAAGCTGTCCTTAAGAGCAAAGTATTACCTCAAAAATTTATTTCAATAATGGAGTTTCGAGCAATGGTAGAATGGTAGAAATAGTTTCAAGAAATGGTAATTTCAAGAAGTGGAAGAACTTGAAGTGCACAGAAGTTACTTGCATGTGGCAATGCTTCCTGGATAAAAGACCCAGTGTAGGTCTACATTATTTTAACACACACAGGTAAAACCCACCCAAACTGTAATGTTAGGTATCAATATGTCATTCTCACAATATGGTGCATTTTTCCTGCCTAGGAGAAGAATAATGATCCTACACTCTGGCACCAGCTTTAGAGCATGGTACCTAATTCCTTGCACTGTCATATACATACATGATTTTCAGCAAATCTCCCAGTGTTTATACTACATTCACTGACCCCCTACATAAGGCTACAACTGTACACCAGCTGTCACTGGCCTAGATTTTATCATGTCCTGGGCTGAACACGGACTTGGGATGACTCAGAAACCGTTGCGTCTGTTTTTTCCCCTGCTTAATAAATAAAGAAGCCACAACAGAGACAGAGAGAAATTCAGAGCTGGAGGCAGGAAGGACTGTTCAGACAGTAATTCCAAAATCTCATCTGTAGAGGTGTAGAAAATGTACACTCCTGGAGCAAGCTCTTCAGATAAAGCCTCAAATCTTGGTGGCAGTTATTAAATGGACATAAAATTATATGCCTGCAAAGGAGGTGCTGTGAGAACAAACACATCAGTGACTGAGAGACGCCAGGATACCACAAAAAAGTAACACAGTAAGAAGAGAGGATGCCAATGTCTCAGATAAGCAGTTATGGCTATGTTTACTTAAACTGTTCTGCTGAGCTGTTCCCGTTTCAGGCAGAAAACTTTGATATAAGGAAGAGACTTGCAGTTATGTCTTCATATTTTTTTCCCTTCAAAGCATGAAAGAACTTCCTTTTTCAAAACCAATTTAACAAAGTTTACATCCAAACCCTCTCAGTCCCAAAAATGTCAGATCTGAACTCTATTAAAAGCAGCAGTTAGAGCAGCCAAACGCTCCACAGTACATTTAATAGACTATAATATTTCTAATGCCTGACTGCCTGAAGTCTATGATCTGGAAAACCAGCCAAGCACACCCACCCAAAAGCAATGACTGCTACAGGATGAAAAACTCTTATCTCCCTGTGGTCCTCTATCACCACTGGCATGAGCAGACCAGAGACTCTCAGGCTGCAGACAGTGAGCATACAGACCACCTCGCTGGCAAGAGGAAGCCCAAAGGAAGCAGACAAATTAGAAACGGAAGTTGTGCCAAGCATGTAAGCATAGAGCTATGGTTTCAAACTTCAGGTCCTGCAGTTTTATGGTCGTGTTTTATTACTTGATTTTATTGGACCCTTCTTCTCCTAGCCTACTGCTTCCCTCATATCACTTACAGTTCCTCCCATCCGTTTCTGCCTCACATCCTTCAGGCTGGAAGATTGCCCAGATCAGCTTCTCTAGTTCAACCACAAACTCCCTTGACACCAGTGAGGACCAGAGTAGACATCTGCCCTGAGCTCAGGTATGAGCACCCTGCACACCCAGCAGTACTTTCTCTTGGCTGGCCTAAAGGACAAGCATTTTCATGCAGATTTAGCAGCTGCCAGTTGTGACACTGGAAAATACAGTTCATGCAGTCTCCTGAAAAAGCCTGTTCTTCCATATAAGGCATATGTGTAGGAAAGTAAAATAGCTTTCCTAGTAAGTTATGCAAAGAGAAGCAGCTTCCTGGTACCTATTACAGCTGACTGGGAGCTAAAATGGTACTAATTATACTGTTCAGTTGAACTCCAGCAAGGTTCCATCAGTCCGAGCATGAAGAGCTCTGCCTAAGCAAACCTGCCAGTTGGGCAACCACGAGTGGGCAAGGCCCATGCCAGGGGTATCCAGCCTGGCACATCCTACTGCTCTTCCTCTGTCACCCTGCACCACAGCACCCATGGCACAGGACAGGAGCAAGGCTGGCCCCATCTGAGCAAGAATTTACTCCCAAATCAGGTTTCCTAAGCATCAAACTGGCTGCTGAGGAGCATTTTCTACTCTTGCCAGCCTGATTGCTCAAGATGAAGCAAAGGTATGGATGACTGCAGCTCATTCCATGTCATCACACCAGTGGGTTGATGTGGATTTGCAATGAAGCAAGAGAGGCAGCACGCTCAGATATGAACCAGGCTGAACTTTTAGGAACAGTTTCTCGTGTTTCAGGCCCATCTACCAAGGGTGCAGGGGAATTTTTAAAGAGCAGTCAGAAGTAGCGCAAGAAAAAGGGAAGGAAAAAAAGAAAAGATTATTTGCCTATATCTAAATAATGAAATGAGGCATTTTTCACTTCCATGCTTCAGTATCTCAAAAATAGGAAGGGGAGTGTTATTATTTGCTACAAGGTATGAGAAATGAATGGATTCCAACAAGTACCAACAGTAACACTTTATTCTCTTTCATAACAGAAACAAGCAGAAAACATTTTACTCCAAAGGATGAGTTTTCCAGACGGCTTTCAACTTCTCTGAAAACAGCCATAACTATAACACTGCTCACAGAATGTTTGGTAACTTTATCAAAGATGCTGTTTGTTAAACATTAACTTTTATATAGTTTCACTTAGCTATCCTATTGTACATTCAAAGTCAGCTCATTTAACTACTTTATTAGATCAATATAAAATTTTGGATATCAAGAACTGCACATATAGTCAAAGAAAAAGACAGAGGTCCTAATTGATTCAAAATGGACAGGGAAAAAAACAAGGGAAAATGACATAAAAATGAAACAGTATAATTAATATCCTAAAAAACAATTTGCATCCCAAAAAGATAACTTTTATGACCTCTCTTCACCTGCAGAAAGGCCTAGCAAGCTTTCAATCTTTTCCCACTTGCAAGGCCCCTCAAGTTTTCCCTATAAAAGCGAAGCCCACCAAAGAACCACTGCAACAGCTGACAGCCAGCTTTGCTTTGCTGAGTCCCTGCTCTTCAGAGGCAGGCTCCAAGTCAACAGCTTGACAGTCACTGGTCACTACTGCCACCACAGAGTACAAAATGAAAATCACCAGTGCACTGCAAACCAACACTCTCCCGCTCACAACCTCCAGCAAGGGCTGCAGCAGCCTGCAGGAGCATTCCCACCTTTATACACATGCGGTGCAACGCTCTTGTATCCAGTTATCCCTAAGGGGCAGCATTCCAAAAGGATAGAAAAGTTTAGGTAATATACATTATGCAACATTTGAGTTGTATTTAAAAAAACTCCAGGCCTAGCAACTAATTGTCTTGTTTTCCAGGTCTGCTGAAATTGTGCAGAAGGTGAGCAGGCTCCACAGGCAGCCCCCACATCCCTCATCCCTCCCTCTTCCGACCCCATACCTCAGCTGCACCACTGGCAGGGAGCACCCACAAGCATATGCTCTCAAGACAAACCTGACCCTGCAGCAGCACAGAGCAGCAGAAAAAAAAACATAAGGAGAAGCTGCTGCAGTGGCAGACCAGAAGAATTAAAACCTGGTCACCTGCACCCAGGCGGTTCCCCATCTCTGAACAGCACAAAGGCAGGTGAGGCCCTAACTTTCACAGTTTGAGGTGAAAGAGCCCCAGCACTCCCATGATCTACCTCCAGAGGCTCCAAAATGTTCCCCCAGGAAGGACATCTCCCAAGTTTGAACCCCCTGCTCCCAATGGTTCACATGTAACTACATAGTTCTGACCAGAGGCATGAGCAATTTATTTCTCCTTAGACAAGTGACACCAGGAGAAATTATCTCTGGATTGAACTGCATGAGGCTCTCTGGTCCTGCCTGCATCTCTTCCTAGCTGCTCCTCAATTTTTCCAAAAGGCAGGGTAATGAACGGCACTGGAGGGGGC